GAGTTACATTTTGAGAACGAGCCTACCTCAATCGGTGAAGCTCTTGCAATACTTTAAGACGAGTGCGCACGGCGCTAAGGCGAGAGCCGCATTTTGAAGACGACCCGCCCTCAATCCGTGAAGTCCTCGCAAATGTTTAAGACGAGAGCGCGCGGCGCTAATGCGATCGCCGCATTTTGAAAACGACCCGGCCTCAATCCGTGAAGCCCTTGCTCATGTTCAAGACGAAAGTGCGCGTCGCTAAGGCAAGAGCCGCATCCTGAAAAGGAGCCGCCCTCATCAGACGAGGGCCGCATTTTGAAAACGACCCGCCCTCAATCGGTGAAGCTCTTGAAAACCATCCGCCGCCCGGCCCGCCCTTTCGACCAGCCTCGGAAAGCGACAGGGAGTTGTTCATAATTCAGGAGGGGGAAGCACACACAGACAAAATTAATCTTCGATTCCCCCGAAAATATGGGAAAATATGGGAAGTGTGGGGGGGGGAGACAACAACCCAGAAAACATTGGAAAATATTGGGGATCCGGTTATTTGTGTATTTAGTTGTGTGTCCCAGTTCCCCTTCAATAATGAAAAGTCAATGAGGAGGAGGAGGAGGAGGAGGAGGAGGAGGAGGAGGAGGAGGAGGAGGAGGAGGAGGTGGAGGAGGAGGAGGAGGAGGAGGCGGAGGAGGTCAAGGAGCTGCAGCAGCAGCAGCAGCAGCAGCACCAGCCGCAGCGGCAGCCGCAGAAGCAGACAGCAGTGGTCACGCTGTTGGCGAGGACAAGTTTTCTTTGCGGAAGGGGTGGGCAGGGGGACGGCAGCGCAATGAGGACAGGCCGCGGCGCTTCGGGTTTGGACAGCTGCGGGCCGCGGCGGTGGCAGAGCCAGCCATGCGCCGCCGCCGCCGGCGGGCTGGCGACGGGCCTCTGGTCCTGGTCCGGAATCCTCGTGCCATCCATCCTCCGATCCGCGTCATCCTCTCGTCGTTCCCGTTCCCAGTCTCGGCATGATGGCTCAAGCCGTTCAGGCTGAGGTGCCAAAGTGGAGGACGGCCCCGTTTCTGTCATGGCATAGGCTTGTGATTTGGCGCAACTGTACCATCTCAGCGACGAAAGCCAGATCGCTGAAGAAACGTGCAGCCGCCTCAGTGACAATGTGAAGGCAATGGCGGACACGATCGTGATGTCCGATGTTTTATACTTGGAGACTGATTGAGCTCGATGCTAACGATGGCCAGCACGCTGGGTCGAGGCAGCTGTGTAAACTCAGATATGTTGGCCGATAGCCGTTCGGTTGGCAGTGCTCCTGTGCCCGACGTGATCGATTTCAAGATATTCGGACGCGACTGTATTTGTTTCACGGATAATTGCTATTTCCAATGCGATAGCTAAGCTGGGCGGCAGTTGCCATTGATGGCAATGCAGGAGGGCTCCTTCAGGTTGAAAATTGCCAAAGGCCTTCCGTCGATATATTTTCACGTCGCGATCATTTTTGGGTACCCTGATCCCCCACCTCTCCCACGACGATCCACCTCTCCCGCCAACTGGCGGATCCAGGAATCCCCCGCTCTGGACCCCCGTGCGAGTGGCCCAGAAGGTTTGGCCGCCCGGAAGACTGCACGGGCGGTGAAGGAAAGGGTTCTAAAGACTCTTAAGGTGAGGGGCCCCCCTTGAGCCCCTGCTGGCCCCCAAAGGGTCCCTTCAGGGCCTCTGTGGCGCCCGTCTCTTCCCCCCCCGTTTAGGGCACCCCCGCATTTGGGAGGAAGCCGTCGCTGGTTCTCGAAGGTTGTCTCGCCTCGGGGTGTTGTCCGGCAGCGGCGCCTCGTCGAGAGCTTTCCGGGGGGCGCCTGCACCGTCCCGAACGGCAGTGTCGAGGCCCGAGGTATGGCCCGAAAGCCACCAGGGCATCGAAGAGGAGCGTGGGGTCGGGCAGGGCGGGAGGAAACGGGCGGTCGCGAAATTTGGTGCACGCGGTCGGTTTCGGCCCCATTGCGGGGCGCATTCTTCGCTACTGTGGCGCCTCGGGAGGCGCCGGAGAAACCAGCCACGTGAGCTGGTTCGCGAACCCCCCCTCTGATACCCCCCCTGCTTTCGCCCGGCCCGAGAAGTGAGCTCGCGATTTTCGCCAGCGCGGTCGCCACCTAGTCTTTCACCGAGCAAGGCGAATCTACAAAAGTATACCTAAGTGTTTATAGGTAGGTAGACTTACACACATGTATATATATATGTGTGTACACACATCTATATATGTGTACATCTTCATGTTTCGCCATATTTAGATACAGGTATTCATATACACGGAAATAAAATATATACACATGTGTTTACATATATACATAAGCATACAGGGTCTGTATCAGCATAACTCTATCCATATGTATACATATAGATTGTCGGAGGTCCGTGCAGATCTGTTGGCTCGGCGCTGGGCCACCCTGGCGGCGCCTCGCCGCCCCTGTCGCGGTCCGCGCGCCAGGGAGGGGAGGGGATGTGCAGCGCCGACCTAATGGGGTGTTCAGGCGGGGCTGGGATGGGGATGAAGCCGCGTCCCGTCTGCGTCGCGCTCGCGTGCAACCATGGTGTCTGTTACCTTCAGGCTCGTGAATTTTATTTTTGAGCACAGCGTGCATGGCAAAGGGGAACTTCAGACTTGCCTGTGTTCCCACTCCATGCGCGAGCCGAGGGAACAGCAGAAGCACGGGGATGAAACGTTCCAGAGCCTTCCAGAACGCTCTCAGAGCGCTCCGGGGCGCTCTGGAGCGGCCTCGGCGGCCGATGCATCCTCCAGTGCCGCCAGATCTCAGAGAGCCCCGACCTGTCCCAGTCGGCTGTCGTCCTGTCCCTGGCTTCATCTTAAAGACTTTCGCGGGCCTCCGAAAATGCATGCTTACATGCCAGTCGTTGAAAGTCGCATGTTTTTTGGGCATCTTGATCCCCCCAATCTTCAAGAAAGGCTAGATGTTGCTGTCGCACCGTTGTTCCTCGGGCGGGCCCGAAGCCAATCTACTTTGTCCAGCTTCCTGCTTCATGATTCTGCCTACTTCTTCCGACTGGCAGGTACTGTGGGGCCATGGAACTGGCGTCAACGCGCCAGATCCACGGATCTCTCGCCTCAGGAGGTCTTTAGTGTTGCCTCCCTCCCTGTTTCTCTCGGCGGGGAGCAAACTCGCCCCTCCTCCTCGTGCTTCTCCTCCGCCTCCTCCTCCTCCTCCTCCTGATCCTCCTCCTCTCTTCCTGCTCCTCCTCTTCCTCCTGATCCTCCTCCTCCTCCTCCTCCTCCTCCTGCTCCTCCCCGTTCTCGATGTTGTAGTCGTCGTCGTCGTCGTCGTCGTCGTCGTCGTCGTCGTCGTGGTCGTGGTCGTCGTCGTCGTCGTCGTCGTCGTCGTCGTCGTCGCGGCGGAGATTAGTTTCCCTCTACTGTTAGGCGCGCTGGATAATGCTGGGGGTTTCTTTCTCCCAGGGAACAACCCATTGTGGGCTTCCCTGCACGCGAGGGGGTATGTGAGCATCTTCTCATGATAATTACAAGAAGAATCAGTGGATTGTCATCGTGATTGTAGTCGCTGTTGTCGTCGCAATCGTAGCCGTGGTTGTAGTCGCAATCGTAGCTGTAATCGTAGTCGCAGTCGTCGTAGTCGTCGTCGTCGACGAAGCGGAAGTCATTTCCCATCTACTGTTCGGTGGGCTAGATAACGTTGGATGTTTCTTTCTGCCTGGGAATAGGGTTGCCTGGGCGACCCTGCACGACAGGAATTATGAGCACGTTGGTGAGAGGATTGCAATATAGATCGACACATTACTCGCCGAAGGCGTTGCTCACAATCTCATCCTTCGTCTCGTCCTCGTCGTCGTCGTTTTGGTGCGGCGGGTGCCGTGGAGAAATACTTGTTCTTCATTGTTGGTGGGACCCCAGTCCATCAACAGGTTCGCCGAACAGATCTTGTATGCTCGCCACCGAGGGCGTTCTAAAGACCCGGGGGGGTCCATGCATGTTGGCGTGTGCTTTTGAGTGTGGTGCCCATCCCCGTCACCGGTGGCTCTCTGGCCGCACCCGGGCTCCCGGCGGCCCTCCGGGACGATCGAGCACCCAGGGGACCGCGCGAGGCGGCGCCCCGAGGCCGGGAGAGCCGCCGAGAAGAGCTGCAGGCGCCAGACCACCTCGAGCCCTCGACTCCGAGACACCGCCGCCCCCTCCCAGGGCCCGCTGCCCCCCCGGGGGTTCCGCTCGCCCCCCCTTCCTAAGCTCAGGTCGGGCGTGTCCTCCTACAGGCGGATTTTGGACGAAACATCCCAGAGAGTCAAACACAACAATCGCACTATCTGGGAATATTCCTTCCGTAAATCAGGAGCGAAAGAAGGACGTACACGTACATGAATCCACGCTGGTTTCGAGAGTACGCATAGCGCAAATGTTCGCACAGCGCGGCCAGTCTCGCGGATCGAGGGGCCGTGTTCATGTACATAGCTGGGCGCGTACGTCCTTCGCGGGCTCCCTAGGAAAGGGATGCGCCCGCCTGAATCCTACGCGGCAAGCATTTCCGTAGCCGTGCCCTCGCGGCCCGGGCTCCTGGGCGCGGCCCCGCGGAGGCGCGGAGAGTCGCACCGGGTGCGTTGCTCGCGCGGGGCCTGCGCGGAGCCGCGCCGCGCCGCGGCGGGGCCGCGGCCCCTCGGGGGCCCCCTCTGCCCCACGAGGCCGCGGCTGCGGATCTGGTTTTGTTCGCCCCGGGGCCCGGACACGGACACGTCTTCCGCCCAGGGGCCCCTCTGCCCGCGAGGCCGCGGCTGCGGATCTGCTTTTGTTCGCCCGGGACCGGGACATGGACACGTCTTCCGCCCAGGACTCCCCCGCTTCGTGGAGTGGGTTTATAGCCCCCTTGAGGGGAAGCGGACTTGCCATCCAGTCTCATTCATCTCGACCCTCGACGGGCATCGTGGGCTTGTGCGCTGAGGTTGTGTTCGTGGGAAGGAAGGAAGGAGAAAAAAAAAAAAAAAAAAAAAAAAACTCCCCCGCCCAGCCCCAGGTCTGGGATGCTGGCGCCCGTGCGGCGCCTGGCGGGGGTGCCCCTGGGCACCCTGCTGGCGGCGCTCGGCGTCGGCGTGCTGCTGTGCGTCGCGGCGGGGAGGGGGGGGGCTCGGCTGCGCGCAGGAGTGGCCCGTCGCTTGCTTTGCGCGTCGCATCTGCCTAACTAGTCTCTGCGTAGCCCGCTCGGACCTGACTCGCCGCCGGCGCGCTCGCCCGCGGCCGCTGACTAAAAAGTAGGAGGGGCCCGTCGCCAGAGTGGCTTTCTGGTGCAGGCCCGCAGGGGTCCCCCGATCGCCGGATGACATTCGATAGCGGCGGCTTGCCCCTTGGGTTTGGACCCGCCCAGAGTTGCGAAGCAAAGGTCGATCTTGCCTAGGTTCACCTCTTGCGTGTAGCCGAGGGGGGCGGCGACCTCCCTGTTACATGCTCGTTTCTTCGACCTTGTGCCCACCCAGCGAGTATGTTCGGCTATAGTTCGAATCTAACCCGACACCGCTAAGGCTCCAGCTCCAGTTCCGCTCGAGTCGACGGACGCTCGACGCAGCGTCGGCGCACGAGTGTAGCGAGTGGCTTCAGCAAGATCCACAGGACGAGCATCTACAGTCGACCCGCATAGTAAGGATGAACGACATTCCAAGGTTACCTTTGCATCCTTCCCCTTCGAACCATCCTGGGCCGCTTTCGCTGGCCGTGCCCCGCTCGCAGCGTGTCGGCATAGCCTTCAATGCCCTTGCATCCTTATCGTGCGTTTTTGTTTTACGGGTTGATTGTTGTCCCCGGCACCCCGCCCCACCCCAACCCGCTCCAACTCTTGCATGGTGCTCGCGCAGTTCAGTTCCGGCATAACCATAACCACTGCGCCCCCACTCCTTGCATGGAAAGACCGCGCCCTGGCGCGTATGCGAGTGTTCAGCTACTCGTCAGAGTGACCCTTATGGGTCGGGGAATTTCTCTTTGGGGCTGCGCTCGGCCTCGCGACGGCGCACTCAGCGCAGTGTTGCGCGCGCGCATCTGGGCGCACCTTGTCCGGGGGGCCCCGTCGCAATCGACTGCAACGTTTGCGCAGCCCGCCATGCAGCGCGCGGTGGTTTCCCGATGGGAGGCCCTAGTCGACCGGGCGGCACGATGTCCGCCCCAGGACCAGTCCTAAGTCGGCTGCCGCAAATAACCTTCATAATTTGACGAACTATCGGCCCCGCTAGGCCCTTCTATCGATTCGTGTACTATCGACACTTCTCGGCGCACGCGGGGGCTCCGTGTGGTGCTCGGAACGGACCACGACGAGGGACCTGGTCAGACGTGTTCGCGATTCGGCCCAGCAGTGCCAGACCTTGTCGCGATGGCGCCCTGCAACGCCTTCAGGGTGTCTTCCCGGGAGTCCGAATCGAATTGGAGGGATTTCGTAGTTGCCCAGCGGCGTTTGGGATACTTCGAGGCGCGTAACACCGAATGCTGATGCGATGCGACAACAGTGGCTTGCGCGGTCGCGTTGGGCCCCCACGGGCCCCCCTAAAGCCGCGCACCCCAGGTCACTCTGTCCTAAGGCTTCTGTTGCCAAAGGTCACCGTTGCCTGGGGCCCTCATCTCGCCCGCTTCCCTAATCTCTTGCCTATTTCGTTATCCCTCATCTTGCCTTTTTCTGATCGGCCCATCCGGCTCTCGCTGAGAGGGGAGTCGGAGGATCGGCCAATTGGGAGCCAGACTGTGCGACATGTTCAGAGTGTGACTGTCGGCTTTATCTTTCGAAACAGCGCTTCGAGCTCCTAGACGTCATCGTTGGTTTTGTTATCACAGACTCCTTCGAAGGGTCCTCCTGACCTGTTTGAACTTACCTGAGCTCATTGTTTTGATCTCTTGCAAGTGGGGGGATAATATCTGAGCGTCGTTGCGGCAACATTGTTGGAGTTCGTTTGACAGGTTGCCATCCTATTCTCAGTCATTCCCATCTCTTGTGAGATGATGTTTGCTTTCAGCGATAGGATATTGTTGTTGCTTCGTGGGGTGCGCCTAGGCTTCACGCAACCGCCCAACAACACTCTTCGAGGGCCGCGTCTCCACACACTTTGGATGTATTGGAGTCCCGAGTCGTCCCGAGTCTGGGTCCATGGCAGGCCTGAACCTTCGCCTTTGCAGAGATCCGTCGCGTGCCCCCCTCAGTTGTCCTCCGTCTCCTCGCAACCACTCGCCCGCGGGCTCGGGCCGAGCTGGCGCTGGGAGGAGGAGGAGGAGGAGGAGGAGGATGGGAGGAGGAGGAGGAGGAGGAGGAGGAGGAGGAGGAGGAGGAGGAGGAGGAGGAGGAGGAGGAGGAGGAGGAGGAGGAGGAGGAGGGGGAGGAGGAGGGGGAGGAGGAGGAGGAGGAGGAGACCATGGATGGAATTGGATTGTGTTCCACAGTTGGCTCGGATTCTGCGCCCCGGCGCCAGATCCTGGAGGCGCCGGGCTCGCCGAGGCCATCCACGGAGCACCGGACGGTTGATCGGGCAGCGTCAAGGGGTGCCACCACCAGGGGGGTCACCTCCTCCTCCTCCTCCTCCTCCTCCTCCCTCCTCCTCCTCCTCCCCTCCTCCTCCTCCTCCTCCTCCTCCTCCTCCTCCCCCTCCTCCTCCTCCTCCTCCTCCTCCTCCTCCTCCTCCTCCCCCTCCTGAGGATCGAGGTTCCAGGATCGAAGCTCGAGGATGTTTTTGCACGCGTCGGGGGGGTCGTTTCTGGAGTGTTCTGGGGGGCGCCACTTCCTCGAGGAAGGGGGCGTGTCCTCGAGGAGGTGGCGACCCCCCTGGAGGGCGACGGCATGGCCTGCGCTGCGCGGGCGATCGCTCGGACCAAGGGTGTCCGAGCTCAGCCCGCCCCATTCCCAGGCAGCAGAGCTCTGGAAGTGCCTCCCCCCGACCCGAGGCTCAGAGGAGGAAAAGGTACCCATACCGCTACCCTTCCTCCGTTTCACCCTTTTTGGGCCCCTTGGGAGGCCCTCGTCGCCACCGCTGGATTCGTTTCGAAATCCTGGTCAGAGCGCGCCCGAGGTCCGGGAGTAGCGGCATCGGCACCTTTGGGTTTCCCAGAGGCAGGCGCCCGCCGAGTCACAAGGTAGAAGCGGAGAGTTGGCGTGACATATGCCTCAGGCGAGGCGACCGCTGACGACCATGATGCGGGTGCCTTGCCCTGAGCGTTTCCCTAATCAGCCTGTCGGTATGTAGGGTGTCGGGGTTTTATATGATGCATCACACGCCCGTTGAGGGATGCTGGGCCCCCGACGTGGCCCGCGTATTTGCGTGAAGCTGCTTAAGGGAACTTCTGCCGCAAGGGTGCCATGTCACTGGGGGGATGGGGTGTGTAGTGTATTCTGGACGCTTCGCGTAACCCCACCATGCCATCCAAAGAATGATGCCCAGACGAGTTGCCGTGATCATGCAGATGGGGGAGCACGCAGTGAAATAACAGGCTCGGGAAGCCGTAGGTAATACCCTGAAGGGGGGAGGATGGAGGAGGAACCAGAGGAGGAGGCGGGAGGATGAGGGGGACGGGGAGGCGGGAGGAGGGAGGAGGGGGGAGGGAGGAGGAGGAGGAGGAGGAGGAGGAGGAGGAGGAGGAGGAGGAGGAGGAGGAGGAGGACAAAGGGATGAGGAAGAGGAGGAGGAGGAGGAGGAGGAGGAGGAGGAGGAGGAGGAGGAGGAGGAGGCTCGAGGAGGGCCAGCAGAAGGCCAGAGGCCTATTGGATGCCTCTCGGAGTTTCTTCGGATGTGTCTGGAGAACTTCTTGTAGGCCTCTTGGGACCCTCGTGGCGGTTCCGGGGGGCCTCTAGGGGCCTCTTGGGGGTCTCTTCGAAGCCTCTTGGCAGCACCGCGGGAGCCATAGATGCCTCTTGAGGCCTCCTGGGCACCTCTTTGGGCTGTCTTGGGGCACCCTTGGGAGCCCCGGCGCGGAGAGCCCCCGCGTCCCCGCCAGAATTCGCTGACCGGCGGCCTCCTGGGTCGCACGCTGTTTTTCTTTCGCCGGCGCCGCCGCTCTAGGCGGCGGCGCGCCTGACTTGTTTATCATTTAATCGCTTCGCTCATTCCGCCGGCCCATATTGTCGCACCGTTGTGGGCTAGCCGAGTTTTGGGGCCTCTTGGGGGCCGTTTTTGGGCCTCTTGGGGCCTCTTTTGGGCCTCTTGGGCGCCTCTTGGGGCGTCTTGGGGGCCTCTTGGGGGCCTCTTGGGGCTTTTTTGGGGCCTCCTGGGCGCCTTCTGGGGCGGAAGGCTCGATTTTTCAGTTCTCGGTTCTCCTCTTGAGCCCCTCTTGGGCCCGTCTTGGGGCCTCTTGGTCCGTCTTGGGCGGCACTTGGGCCGTCTTGGGGGCCCTCCTGGGCCGTTCCGGGGCCGTCTTGGGAGCTTCGTGGGCCGTCTTGGAGCGGTCTTGGGGGCCTCTTGGGCCGTCTTGGAGCGTCCGGAAGCCGAAAAAGCCAGAACACAAAAAACATCGGAAAAAACCAATGAAATCAACGATTTTGGCCTCTTGGGGCTCTCTTCGGAGGCCTCTTGGAAGGCTCTTGGGGCGTCTTGGAGGCCTCTTGGGCTGTCTTGGGGGCCTTTTGGGCCGTCTTGGGGTCATCTTCGGCGTCTTCGAGCGCTCTTTGGGCGTCTCGGGAGCCTCTTGGGCAGTCTTGGGGGCCTCTTGGGGCACTCTGAGCGCGCTCTGGGGAGCCTGAGAGGCCGCACCCAGAAGGAAAACCATCTCTGAGTAGACTTGGTCGGGGGCCGCCCCGCGCGCGCGAACTAGAAATACTGTTAATACTGTTAACCAGTTACCGGAGATCTTAGCACGCCCTGGCCCGTTGGGCCGGCGAATTTTCCAAGCAGCCAGGAGTGTGGCATCCTGCTGCTTTTCAACTAGCGGAGCCCTGGGGGCCATCTTAGGGCCATCTTGGAGGATATCGATCAAAGGAGGGGGGCTCCTGAATTAGGGTCTCCCCCCAGAAGCCAAGATGTGACCAAAACGTATGCAAAAGTCAATGATTTGAACCGCGTCTTGGGTGCCTCTTGGGGGCCTCTTGGGGCCTCTTGGGGGTCTCTTGGGAGCCTCTTTGTGGGCATCTTGGTGGCATCTTCGAGGCCTCTTGGGGCCGCCTAGGCACCTCTTGGGGCTGTCTTGGGGCACCCTTGGGAGCCCCAGGGGCCATCTTGGGGCCATCCTCGAGGACATCGATCAAAGAAGCGGCTGAGCTACATTAGCCCCCCCCGAGCCCCGAATGTGGCCAAAATCTGAGTAACGTCGATATGTTGGGGTTCCTCACCGAAGCCATCTTGGACGCTCTCACTACCCCGCCCCTTCCCCCTCCGGGCCCAGGGGGAGGGGGTAGTGGGAGGGGTCAAGACACCCTCCAGACAGCAAGCCGTCTAGCTCACTCCCACCCGCCTTCCCAACACATAAGTAACACCCGAGCCTCAGCATGTTCAGCGGTCGTCTTTGTATGGACAGCTACTGGGAACCAAAACCGAGCCCATGTGCGCGACGCTGGGGCGAGGTGCGCCACGCGTGCCAGGCGCGCCGCGCGCGCCAGGCACCCCTAGGGCCCGAGCGTGCCAGGCACGCCTGGTGCGCCAGATTAGCCCCTTCCCCGAAGGGGGGAGAGGGAAGATGGAAGAGGAAACTTTCTAAACCACTCACGCCCAGAGGGCTAGTGGGATTTGGGGAGGCCGTCCTCGGAGAAGCGAAACATATTGCCAACGCCACCCCCTCTGGGTTGGCGTCCGGATCGTAGCTCGGGTCTCTGGCGGCCGCTCGGGACGATCGGGACACCCCCAGAACACCCTTGGCGAGGCGCAGTTGCTGGAAATCACCCCGAGGCTGGAAAGCCGCCGAGAACTGACGAACTCGCACGAAAACCTGAGACCTCTCAGTGGACGCCGCTGGGAACCGACGGCTCGCCGTCCTCTGCGCGGGAGAGCGCCACGTAGCAGGCGTGCGAGCAGCCTCGCCCGAACCCGAGAGGAGGCGGGGGAAGTTTTCAGAATGCGGTGCCCCTGTCGGTGATCAGTGGGAATCAAGATGGCCGATGCGTAGCCCCCTGTGCCTATCCCCCCCCCTATCGTTGCCCCTGGACTCTTGGACACTCCCGATGAAAAGGGGTGAGGAACCCGTGTTGTCTCCCCCGTGGCCCCGCCAGCGGGGCAGGCCGCGCCGCGCGCTCGGGGCGTGACCCGTCCCCCTGAGCGGCCTCGCTCCCCTCCCGCCCCCCTCTTTTTCGGCCGCGTCCTCTGCCCTCTCCCCTCCTCCTGCATGGGGGCAGAATTCGCTACAGCAGCACCCCCGTTCGGGGAGATCGTCGCCAGCGCAGTGATTCTGCTTGGCCGCCGACGCGAGAAAAAGCGTCGTGTGTTGTCTTCTTGTCGGTAGCGCTGGTGGCCGCCCTCTCGGAGCGCGGCCCTGCTACCGCCGACCCCCCCCGCCCGAGTGCGCGGCGGACGCCTGGAGCCTTCTCTCCCCTGGCTTGGCACCCCCCGAACCTCGAACCTCTTAACTTTAGTCAAGGTCCAGAGTGAGGACGCGCGCCTTACTCCAGGGTGCCCTCGGGTCCCTGCCTGCCTCTGCCTCTGCGTCCCTGGGGATACAGCCGCCTGCCGCCCCAAACATCCCAACTTCGGCTTCCACGGGTCTTGCGTCATTGCCACGCGTCTTTAATATCGACGTTGATTCTACCGTTGTCTCAACTGGCCACGCCCCAACTGCCGCGAACCTCGAGCCTCGGACTGTGAACCTCGAGCTACCGAACCCCGAGCTACCGAACCCCGAGCCTCGAGCCTCGCACTGCCGCTGCAGAACCTCGGACTGCCGTTGCCTCACCTGGCCACGCGGGCGTGCGAGCAGCCTCGCCCGCTCGCCGCCCCCCCGGGCCTGGAGGCCACCCTCGGGCTGTACGGGGCGCTCCACGGGGGCCGCGAGCCGCCCGGCGAGGCCCCCCTGTGGGGACCGGCGGCCACGGGCGTCTCCGTCGAGGATCGATCGATCGAGGACCGATCGGTCGATCGATCGAGGATCGAGGGTCGATCAATCGAGGGTCGACCACTGAATTGAGGATCGATCGATGGATCGAGGATGGATCACTCGATGTCGATCAGTCGAGGTCGGGGAACTATCGAGGACCCATCGAGATTCGAGGGTCAAGGTCGTGGTGATGATGTTGATGGTGATGGTGGTGGTGATGGTGTTGATGATGGTGGCGAAGAGGATGATGATGATGATGATGATGATGATGATGATGATGATCATGATTCTGAATGTGATGACGGTGATGATGCTGATGATGATGCTGATGATGATTGTGGTGGTGGTTGTGATAGTGGTAATGTTGATGATGCTGGTGAAGATGATGGTGGTGATGATGTAGATACTGGAAATGGTGATGACGATGATGCTGATGGTGATGGTGATGATGAAGATGACGATGATGATGGTGGTGGTGGTGATAACAATAATGCTACTGCTGGTGGTGCTGGTGATGGTGGTAATGACGATGATGATGCTGATGGTGCTGATGACGATGATGATGATGCTCACGCTGATGATGTTGTTGATGATGATTATGATGGTGGTGGTGATGATGACGATACTGTTGAAAATGCCGGTGGTGATGATGATGACGCTGACAGCGGCGATGATGATGTTAGTGTGGTTGATGATGATGTTGTTGATGATGATTATGATGATAATGATGATGCTGATGAGGCGGAGGAGGAAGATGATGCTGGCACCGCTGATGATGCTGATGATGACGAGGAGGAGGAGGAGGAGGAGGAGAAGGAGGAGGGCGGGAAGAGGAGCTGAGAAGGAGGAGGAGGAGGAGGAGAAGGAGGGAGAGCGGAGGAGGAGGAAGGACGATGCGGCCGAGGATGAGGATGATGAGGATGATGTGAAGGATGAGGAGGAGGAGGAGGAGGAAAAGGAGGAGGAGGAGGAGGAAGAGGAGGGGAAGCAGGAGGAGGGGAAGAGGAGGAGGATGCCGTCACATGTGACATCTTTTATTCCCTACCTAGGCTCTGCCTAGAAGGGTTCTTACTCTCTTTGCTTAAAGGGCCGGGCAATGCTAACCGCCCCGGGCGGTTCCCCCAGTCCCCGCCCCGCGGTTCCCCCAGTCCCCTGGGAGCTTTAGCCTTAGCTTTAGCTTTTAGCTTTAGCTTTAGCTTTAGCTTTAGCTGTTAGCTTAGCTTTAGCTTAGCTTTAGCTTAGCTTTAGCTTAGCTTTAGCTTAGCTTTAGCTTAGCAGCTTAGCTTAGCTTTTAGCTTAGCTTTAGCTTAGCTTTAGCTTAGCTTTAGCTTAGCTTTAGCTTAGCTTAGCTTTAGCTTAGCTTTAGCTTAGCTTTAGCTTAGCTTTATTTAGCTTAGCTTTAGCTTAGCTTTAGCTTAGCTTTAGCTTAGCTTTAGCTTAGCTAGCTTAGCTTAGCTTTAGCTTAGCTTTAGCTTAGCTTTAGCTTAGCTTTTAGCTTAGCTTTAGCTTAGCTTTAGCTTAGCTTTAGCTTAGCTTAGCTTTAGCTTAGCTTTAGCTTAGCTTTATCTTAGCTTTAGCTTAGCTTTAGCTTAGCTTTAGCTTAGTTTTAGCTTAGCTTCAGCTTAGCTTCAGCTTAGCTTCAGCTTAGCTTTAGCTTAGCTTTAGCTTAGCTTTAGCTTAGCTTTAGCTTAGCTTTCGCTTAGCTTTCGCTTAGCTTTCGCTTAGCTTCAGCTTAGATTTAGCTTAGCTTTAGCTTAGCTTTAGCTTAGCTTTAGCTTAGCTTTAGCTTAGCTTTAGCTTATATTTAGCTTTAGCTTTAGCTTTAGCTTAGCTTTAGCTTAGCTTTAGCTTAGCTTTAGCTTAGCTTCAGCTTAGCTCCAGCTTAGCTTTAGCTTAGCTTTAGCTTAGTGTTAGCTTAGCCTTAGCTTAGCTTCAGCTTAGCTTTAGCTTAGCTTCAGCTTAGCTTCAGCTTGGCTTTAGCTTAGCTTTAGCTTTAGCTTAGCTTAGCTTTAGCTTAGCTTTAGCTCAGCTTTAGCTTAGCTTTACTGTTACTACTAATGCTGCTTTCCAAGGGGTTCCAACTCCTAGGTAGGGTCGCACTGGGATAATGTTTCACAAGATGAGGAGCCCTCATGGAAATCGTTTAGGCCGTCTTGTGGCAGCCTTGGCCTCGAGTGAGGCAGCGTTTTTGGCCAATGGGGACCCCCAAGCGCGTCGGAAGCTCGAGAAGGCGAGAACCCCAACACGTTGACCAATCTGAAGAACATCGCAGTATTGTGCCACTTGGAGCCATCTTGGAGGCCTCTTTTAGCCCTCTTGGGGCCTCCTGGGGGCATCTTGGTGCTGAAGGCTCGAATTGTCAGTTCGTGTTGCCCCTCTGGAGCCCTTCCTGGAGCCTCTTGGGGCTCTCTTGGGCAGTGTTGGGCGCCTCTTGGAGTCCTCTTGGGCCGTCTTGGGACCCTCTTCGGCCGTCTTGGGGTTCTCTTGGGGGCCTCTGGGGACGTCGCCAGCTCGAAAAGGCGAGAAACTGTGTGACGGGAGGGGGGGTCTAGAATAGTACAGCAACCCTACCATATTGCACTTGGGCAGAGGGCCTCTTGAGGGCCTCTTGGTGCTCCTGGGGGCATCAAGCGGAGTGCGGTCATGCGCAGGGCCGTACAGTCGGGTCGCTGAAGAAGGACTCCTTTTCTCTGGGGAGGGGCTCTGTGCTCCTGAATGTTTCTGCAGCTTGGTCTTAATTAGCCCTCAGGGTTTCTATAGGAAATCGAAGTTCAACTTATGGGAAAACAGGGCCTCGTTCTTTAGCTAGGGTTCCTTCTGATATCGTTTCGACTGTACCGTTACCCTCCTTCCCGTGTGCGCTGACAAGTGGGCAGCCGTCGCACACGCAGACCAGTGTCATTACGTTCGATCGCTCCGGTGAGGCCCGTGAGAAAATGCAACTACTTCCCTGCGGCCCATGGAGGTCCATTGGACTGCGGTCATATGCAAACTCACTCACTATGATTTCCGTGGGTGTTGCCAAAAAAACCGTTGGTACGTTCATCTGGGAGGCAAGATATTACACCGGTTGGGGCCCAGCGGGGTGTGGCCATGCGCAGACCCAAATTGTTATGCACCCTCGCCCCCCGCAGAGCCGCCAGAAACACAGTGTGTTTCCAGACTCCTGCGCCAATGGGGAGTCAAGCGGGGTGGTGCCACACACAGATTCAGCTACTATCCTCGATCCCCTTTCGTTCCATTCCCCTTCTCGCTCTCTTCCGATCTCTCTGTCTTCTTGTTGTCTTCCGCGCGCTTTCCTTACCGTTCCTCGTTTGGACGCGCAATCGTTGTCGCGATCTTCTGAGTTCCCCTGGTATGGGTCGATGGCATGTCGTCATGCTCTGAGCCCCTGAAAGGTCTGCGCACCGACCTCCATGCGAATTCCACTGGAGGACTCCTGCCCCAGGCCTATCAACATTTTTGGTCTGGGTTGGATTCGTCCCTGGGTGCTTCTAACAACATCAGGCTCGCCGTCAAGGTCCCGCCCGCCCGATCAGCCTGTCAGGGTGCTGCCAGCCCGACCCGCCCGCGAGGGCACCGCCCGCCCGACCCGCCCGTTTGGCTTCCGCCCGCACGACCCGCCCGCGAGGCCCCCCTCCCCCCGCCCGACCCGCCCGCGACGGCCCCGCCCGCCCGACCCGCCCGTCGGGGCCCCGCCCACGCCGCCCGCCAGGCCGGCCCGCTCGCTCGCTCCGAGGCGTAGACCTCGGCGGGAGCTGGCGCAGCCTCTGCCCGCCGGGCCGGCAGCGGGCCCCCCCCCCACCCTCGGCTCCCGCGCTCGGCGGTTCGGAGATGGGGCCCCGAAGAAGCGCTTCTCGGGACACGCTGCGACCTCAAGCAGCTCGCTGCGGGGACGTCTGCCCGGGAGCCTTGGAGAGGGGCTGGCGTGGCCCTGTCTATACCAGCTTCTTGCCCAGAACCATCTCTGCTCTCCGGAGCTGTCCAGGAGAAGCGCAGGAAACTTGTGCGGGAGACGCTTGGGACCCCAGGGGCAGGAAAGGGATCCCAAGCTGAGCCTTCACCGTTTGAGGCCGCGTGGCAATCCAACCGCGCCGCCGGGGCTTGCCTTCCAGGGAGCGCTGGCCGAGCCGGCCCGCAGCCAGGGAGGCCTCCCCCAGGCTGAAGAACTCCACCGGGGCGGCGCGCCCGCCGCACTTGCCCCGCGCCTGGAGGGGGAAGGGGGAGGCCGGGCTCCCTCCTGGGGTGTGCGTGGGGGGAGTGGGTGGGGGGCGAGGGCGGGGGGCGGCGAGGGCGAGGGGCGCCGAGGGCGTCGCCGCCCTGTTTGCCTCACGCGTGTCCGCAAGGCCCCCATCCCTCGGGGCTCCATGCGTGAGCCGCCGGCACACGGCGGCGCCGCCCTGCGGCCTTGCGGGGGCCTCGCGCGGCCCTCGGGCCCCCCCGCGCGCGCTCCAGGCCGCGGCGATGCCACCGGACGTGGCGCCCGGTGGCCTTGGCGACGTGCTGCCTCGAGGCGGGCAGCCAGCCCTCCTCCTCCTCCTCCTCCTCCTCATCATCATAATCATCATCATCATCATCATCATCATCATCATCATCATCATCATCATCATCATCATCATCATCATCATCATCATCATAGTCATCATCATCATCATCAGCATCATCATCTTTTTCAGTACCAGCACCATGATCATGATCTCAATCAGCATCATCATCAACAACAGCATCATCGACAGCAACAGCATCTGCATCAGCATGATCATCATCATCATCAGCAGCAGCATCATCATCATTAGCATCATCAACATCATCAACATCACCATCATCAGCGCCATCAGCATCATTATCATCATCACCACCATCATCATAACCAGCATTACCACCAGCATCATTATTTCCTTTCTCCTCATCAGCATCACCATCATCCTCAGCAGCATCATCATCATCATCATCATCAACAACAGCATCATCGTCGTCACCAGCATTACCAGCATCACCAGCATCAATATCATCACCATCGTCATCAGCATCATCAGCATCATTATCATTGCTTTCAACGGTTTTCCGGATGCTGATGCTGATTTCGTCTCCTACGACGCCCGCGACGTCAACAGCGTCGCCGCCCTGAGGGGCCCACCGCGTCCGTCGTAAGTGGGCACAGGCCCAAGCTTCGGACGCTCGCTCCTCCTCCTCTTCCTCATCCCCAGGTGGCCAAGAGAGACAGAGAGGGTTGCAGTCATCACTCGTGGCAGAGAAGCGCCAGGCTTATTGCGATCGCATGTTTGCTGACGCTTGGGAGCGTGAGGAGCATGCTCGGATCCAGGCCACCGACCCCAACCTAGACGCACTCTCAGAAGCCCAGTCTGAAGAAGACCCTTGGGCTCACGAACTTAACTTCTGTTCGGACCCTAACTTGGGGCGGTCGGGGGTTGGGACAACGCCAGCTCCTTGAGGGTGGCCGAAATGGCCCGCATGCTGCGACCTTCGAGCGCTCGCCTGTTGTTCTGGGGTCGTTAGGAGGTGATGTTGGGGCGGCCTTCTCGGTGGCTGGCTTGCCAGAGCCTTTCGGTGACCCGAGCGATGATGGTGCCCTGAACACCGAGGCGCCTATCATGGGCCAGCTTTATCAGATGCCTCGTTATGATTTGCCGCGTGGCCCTTCTGTCAGACAGGCCTGGCGTCGGGCACCTGATTGCATATCGTCATCTCAGTACCGTGCAGAATCCCGACCCCCCAGCGAGCACGCAGAGCCCCCCCCCCTCCGGAAGTGTGCACAGGCATGACGCAGATGATGCAGCACCCGTGTTTCCATATTCCTAACGGGACTTGGGTCAACGCCCGTGCCGATGTATATGATGTTATGCTTTCAGTTGTTCCCTTAGGCGAGGCGGTGTCATTTAGCTGGGGGATGGATGCACGGGAGTCACAAGATGACGTTGCAACGTAAACATCGTGCTTGGTTGTGTGGGCGTTGTGGATGTTATGCTCATATGGGCTTTCGTGAACTAGCGAACCCATGTGTGAATCACATGGCCATCGCAGGTAGGAGAATCGTTGCCGCCTGGGTCTTGGGCTGTGGCCCAAAGTGATCAGCACAGCTGAGCAAGCCCAAAGGTGCATTTAATGCTTGATAGTTAAGCCGGCTGCGTCGAATCGCTCGTTCTCGTTCTCGTTCTCCTCCTCCCCCTCGTCTTCCCACTCCTCCTCCCCCGTCCCCCTGCTCCCCCCTCCTCCTGCTCCTCCTCCTCCTCCTCCTCCTCCTCCTCCTGCTCCCCCCTCCTCCTCCTCCTCCTCCTCCTCCTCCTCCTCCTCCTCCTCCTCCTCCTCCTCCTACTCCCCCTCCTCCTCCTCCTCCTCCTCCTCCTCCTCCTCCTCCTCCTCCTCCTCCCCCTCCTCCTCTCAAGACCCAGCGGCCCCAGCCTGACAGGCACCGCCGGCCGCGAGGCCAGTTGCGCAGATGCGGTTCCACGGACGCCTCCCTCCTCTTTTGGGGGAGGAGCAGTGGGTACGCCCTCCTGGCTCGGCCAGGGCGGTATCTGCACCGCTCCCTGGGCCCAGGGTAGTCCTGGCCAGGAGCAGTGTGCGTGTATAGATCTCGCCGCCCCCCCCCGCACCTGGAGTGCTGCCGTGGGCCGCCGCGGTCCAGGAGGAGCTCCCGGTGGCTCGGGGGGGGCGGTGGTGCCGCTTTCCCAGGCCGGCGGCCGTGGCCGCGCTTTGGGTTCCAGCAGCTTCTCGGCCGTCGTCCCCTCGATCGCTCGCCCGTTCGCTCCTCCTCCTAGCCTATAATGATCCTCCTTTTCCTCCTCTTCCTCCTCATCCGCCTCCTTTTCCTCCTTGCATCGTACTCAGGGCGCTGGTCCAGTAGTCGGAGTTCGACTATGCCCGGTTTCTTCCATGGTTGTTTGAATATTCCTCCTCCACCTCTTCTCCCGTCATTGAAGTCCTCCATGTCACCTTCCTCTTTGCCGTCAGCCGCGGCAACATCAGGCGGAGGCCAAGCGTACCCAGCACCTGGGAGCTGTACCAAGTCCCGCCACCAGTCCCTGTGCACTATCTGTGCCAATTCTCTATGCTTCTCGCCGCTTCACATCAGTGCAACTTTAGAACTAGAACTCTTCGGGCCCATTTGTTTCGAAGATCTCCCAGCAACCCGCGAACAGGAACTCCGTAAAGGGGAATCAGATGCACATGTCAGGCGCTCCAAAAACGGCCTCGCCTTCGAGGGATCGAAAACTTGACATCGGTTCATCGGCGGAAGGCGACGGCAGGCAAGCGGATGGTTGCAGAAGCAAAACCAGACCGCCTCCGCCGGCGGAAACCAGCGGCCGGCGGAAACCGCTGGAAGCAAAGATCACTTTTCCAAGATGTGCCAACTTCGGTTTTTTCCCGGGTTTCCGGAATCGGCCATGTGGGATAAAGGGAGCGATTCGTTGCATCGCAGTCCGCCACTGGGCTTGCACGCGGCTCAAGGCACGCTGTGGTTGTGGCGAGCGCGCACCGCTTCTGGACCAACTGGCGAGGTCCTAACGATGCACAGCCAAGCAGGCCAGTCACCGTCGACCAGCGCCATGATCGCCGACGCCGAGATGGCTGATGGAAGCGAGTGGCAGGACAAGCGTACCACTGCTGCCCTGAACGCGCATGCGAACCGACCTGAGGCTGATTCCGGGCAGGTTTTGGCAAGCGACAAAGGGATTGAAAGGGTCAGCGAGGCCGGCAAGAGGGCAGTCGAGATGAGACGGTCGAGCGGCAAATCCGAGATAAAGTGCGAGCGAGGATGTGCGCGTTCATTTTTGGAGGAATGGAGCGCGCCGTCATCGTTGCGCCGGACTTCCAAGTGTGTGCACGAACGCGCTGGAGGCCACTCGCGTGATCAAGGGATCTGGGGCCACGGTGGAAGACGTCAGGGATAGCCCCGCTGGCGCCGATCGACGACGCACGTGCGAGAGATACCTTGTCATATAATTTCGGCAGGCACGGGGCTCGCCGGGCGCTAACCAGCATATGTTTTGATCGAGGAGCCGACGAGGGACGGGGACGCCTTCGAATGCCACGACGAGAGGGATGCGGGAGCCCGAGCGGACGTAGCCTGGCATCGCCGACACACAGTCATACTCTGTGCGCGTCGGGCCCGAAGGGGGGCGACGCGCGCGTTCCGCGCGCAAGTCTTCGAGTGCTGCCTCGGTGGCGGGCGCTTCCTGGCCCCACCGCTTGGGCAGCGATGTGCTGTGAGGTGCCAGTGTTGCAGACTCGGCTCGGACGTGGGAAGAGGAGGAGGAGGAGGCGGAGGAGGAGGAGTTGGAGGAGGAGTTCGGAGGAGTTGGAGTTGGAGTTGGAGTTGGAGGAGGAGGAGGAGGACGCGGAGGACGAAGAGGAGGATGAAGAGGCGGAGGAGGAGGAGGACGAGGACGAGGACGAGGGGGGGGCGCCTACTGGCCTGTGCCGTACGTGCCTGTTTTCCTGGGGCGGCGAAGCTGCACCGCTCGACCACCGCTCGGGTGCCGGCCGCGGCGAGCAGCGAGACAAGAGAGAACCTCGCGCCTCGCTGCCGCCGCTGGCCCTTACGCAGCAGGAGCGAGGGGGCGAGGGCTTGTTTTCTGTCGGGCATGGAGATTCAAACATAGCCAAAAACAGCCTGGGGACTATGGTTTTACAATGTTTGATTTTGATGTTGTCTAGGGTATTTCTGGGGTGCTCTTAAGTTTTCGTCCAAAATCCCCCTGTAGGGGGACAGGCCCGACTTAAGACTTGTTCTGGTTTGTGTCCTCGTGCGTCCCAGCAGGGGGGCGAGCCGCTTTCCATGTCCAACGCCAGGGCAGGCGGGTGGCTCACGGTCCAGGAGCGGGCGCGCGGCGCAATGAGCTGGCGGGGAGGCGCCACCGCAGAATGGCGGGACTGCCTGGTCCTGGGCATCGTGAAAGGGGCGATGGTCGGGCCGGACGAAAGGGGGGGATTGGGGAAAGGGGGGTTACGAAATGTGCTGTATGCAGCTGGTTTCGGCCTCACCCGAGGGCCCATTCCTCGATACCTAGCCGCCTCCGGCGCCGGGAGGCGCCGGGAAAATCAGCCACGTGAGCTGATTCTCAACCCCCCCCCTTTGCTATCCCCCCCTCTCGCCCGGCCCGAGATAGGTTCCGAGGGCGGAGTGTCGGGTCCGAGGTGCGAGGTTGTCGGATGTCTTCGCGGGTGCTCGGCGGCTTTCCAGCCTCGGGGGGGAGGTCCAGCAGCTGCGCCTCGCGGGGAGACGTCGGGGGGGCCCGCATCGTCCCGAGCGGCCGCCAGAAAGCCGAGCAATGACCCGAAGACTGAGGGGTAACGTCACCACCCACCAAACCACCCCAACCCAACCCGAAGGCTCAGATTTACCCTCGATTTCCAGTGGAGGGGGGGTCGGGAAACATCGAGAAAACACATGTGGAACCCTTCCCCCCCCCAACCCGAAATTCGGGTCTTCGGGTCGGGTTGGGGTGGTCTGGTAGGTAGTCATAGCGTCAGCACTCCTTGCCGATGGGGGCCCGGCAGCTCCCCCGGCCCAAGGACATGCGGGTTCGCCTCAGGGGGCTTATCAATGATGCATCTGCGATGCATCGCCGACTCAAGCTCGATGATTCCCCCCCCCCCCCCGAGCTGGGCCCCCTGTCGATCCCATTCGTCATCGCCCCAGCAGCAATGAATCATTGCTGTGATCACCTTCACGGGAGAGACTCGTCCTGGCAGCGACGATGTCGCACTTTCGGTCGGCAGCGCTTGGTTAGCATGTCGCGCCGCCCGTTCTGGCCCACCACGCTTCGGCGCGACAAGCGAAGCACGTCCGTGCTCCTAAGCGTCACCGCTCGGAGCTTTTCCCAGCCGCCCCTCCCGAGACCCTGCGAAGCGGAGAGACGCGCCATCAGCTCGCAGGGCATAGCGTGTCGCACGGGCCGCCGTCGCGAGGCTTTGAGCAACAGCTCCTCAGCGCGGTGTTGGCCTGATTACGATGGCCACATTCAGTGCGAAGTCGTCGCCGAGGTATCCGGGCAGAGATCTCGGAGGAGGAACAGGCACCCATACCGCTGCCCTCCGCCCGTTTTGCCCCTTTCGGGGCCCCCTGGGAGGCCCTCGTCGCCACCGCTGGATTCGCTCAGAGATCCTGGTCAGGACGCATCCCAGGAGAGGTCCGGGGAGTAGCAGTATTCAGAGCGTGAAATACCTACCCCGCTTTCGCTTCCAGGCAAAACCAAGTCATACCACGCGCCTCCTCGTCAAGCGGCCTGACCAGTACAGGCTGCAATTTGGCATCGTTTGGTATCTCTTGGAAGCGAGGGTGGTCAAAAGCGAGGTAGGTTTGTTTCCCCCCTAAGTATCGGTATGTCTGGTTCTTCCCCCCAAAATCGGGCAGGTGTCGTGGAGGACGGCGCGGGCAAGCGCCAGCTGGCCTGAGGCAGGATCTCCCCGCGTGGGCGGCGGGCCGCATTCCCCTGCGGGGCGCAGGTCGCCGTGGCCTGGCCGGGAATGGCGGCGAAGCAGGAAGCATCCCCGCCGCAGACGTTGCGAGTGGTATGACTGTCATTGCAGGCGCCAGGGAGTATACTCGAGGACGACCGCGGCTTACACATGATCAGTGAGGCGGTGGTCCAAGAAATCCGCGCTGACCTCCACACGCTGAAGTCTACGCTATGCAGTTTGCTGTTCCTCTGTTTGCAGTTGAATGCGCCCCGCTCGGCAGTGGAATCCCAAACCCAGAAGTGCTCGCGCTGTGAAAAATCACAACGGTAGATTTTAACAAGTTTCGGCACCCCGAGGCCCCCGCGAGGCCCAGGCGCCGTCAACAATTGCCTGGATACAAAACCGGCCCTGGGAAAAGGGTCGGGACTTCGGTGACCCTGTATCCTTGAAGGATCCAGGCATCGCACATCTGGAAGCAAGAGGATCGTGCGAGACTTCGTCATCGATTGCATGCTGACCTCGGTCACCGTGGCTGAGCACAGGGAGCTTTCGGGGCGCATCGCGCGAGGCCTGGCAGACCCCCTTGGATGCTCCCCATCGCCAGGAGGCCAAAGCGATAGCTTGTTGAGCAAGCACGTCAACGAGGAGACAGATGGCGACAAGCAGATCGGCATGACCGGAGGGCCACGGCCCTTCCGCGCCGACCGCCAGTGGGCCCGTCCCCCCGGAGGACGCGCTCGCCTCGCCTCGCCTCGCCTCGCCTCCCATCGGTCTCCTCCTCGCGTGCTAACCCACTCCTTCACGAACGCTGCTTGCACACCTCGTGTGGCTGACTGGGCCGGCTTCGGGCCGGCCCGCCGCGTGCTTCGAGGTCCTCCTCAGACCTGGGCGCGGGCAGAGGCCGTGCGGCGCGCACGAGGAGCGGCCAGACGCCTCCGCTCCGACAGAGCGGCCCTGGGCGAGCGGTCGGGACCTCCAGAGGCCCTGGAGCGGATTGCAATGCGAGTGGGGAGGAGCGGCAGAGGGAGGGCAGGATGGGTGTGCGTGTGTGTGTGTGTGTGTGCGCGTGTGGGCCCATCCACTCCTGTCTCCCCCCTGCTTCTGTGTTGTGCCTGCTTTCCTTCCCCCTTTGCCTTCCTCTTGGGCTGGCTCTGGCCCCTCTCCGCGTCTTTCCTTTCCCCTTGTGGTGTGTGGTGCCTCCTCGCTTCTCCTCGGCTTCCCCTTCTCCGTCGGTCGGACCGTTGTCCCTCGCGTCCGTCCGTCTGTCTCCCTCGGCGGTTTGCTGTCGCTCCTCGCTCCTCGCTTCTCGCTTCTCGCTCCGGTTTGCTTGGCCCACCTCGCCCTTGTCTTGCTGGCCCCGTGCCGCTCCTTTTGGCCGGCTCTTGCTGCTGCTGTATCGTGGGGGTTTCGCGTATTCTTTGATCACCTTCCGAACGGCTAGTGGCCAGGCCCAGCCCGCAACGACCGAAAAGTGTGTGCCCGTGTGTGAGTGTGTGTGTGATGCCTTGTGTTTTCCCCTTTATTGTCAGGCGAAGACGCGCTGCACTTCCTCTGGGTCAGCGATTGCTCAGGCGCGTCTCTGCTCTTGTTGCGCCTATCCCTGGCAATTGGCCGACAGCTCCCCGTCCAGCCACCCTATGCTTACGCCAGCACGCCAGAGAGGGAAGCCTTACTCCATGTTCGTTTCCCATCTTTCTCTTGCTTTAGGCCCGAATCGGTATAACATATATACACACATGCACCGATACATGTATATCTATATATATGTATATGTATATATGTATACACATTGTGTGTACATATATATATATATATATATATGTGTGTGTGTGTGCGACAGGAGACATGCGCTCTTGACGGTGCATGTGTCCTTCTCTCCTCTGCTCTCGGCTTCATCTCCTTCTGCCCCTCCTCGCCGGCTCCCTCTTCTCTCTCGCTGCGTTCCCCTGATGTCTCCTTTGGGATCATACTCGCCTTCCCTTGCCCGACCTCCCCTTGACGGCAAAATGTCGCTCCTCGCCACCTGCATTGTTATTTCGCCACAGTGGCAACAAGCCTGCGCTTCCGCCGCGATGCTCTCCTCTGCTCGCTCTGGCGCCCTGCGGTCTCTGGCCGCTGCATGCTGGGACGTCTCCCGCTGGCGCCGGTTCCGCGGAGTGCTTGACGGCGCTTGCCTTCTTGCGCCGCCGAGAGAAGGAGTCCTCGGCAGCGCGGCAGCGTGGGGCGGTGCGCTGCGGTGCAGCAGTGAGCGCGAAGCGTCAACCACCTCACACGTGCGTGTTCCACTGCCTACAGGCACGTTCGGCAGGAGTTCAGTTCTCCAGAGGAGGTCGAGTTGATACAACGGTGGTTGGCCTTCGGGAAGCCCAACGTCGCTACGGCTGATCTCAGCTCGGAAATCGACTGCGTTTGGACCCCGCGAGGGGTTCAGGGACCGATTTTGAGTCGCTGTCGTCTCAGCTCGCCCTGCTCCGAGTTCTGCCAGGCCGTGCTCTTGCTCCTTGGTACAGGTGTGCACCATGGTGTCGCCGTTATCATCCTCGCTTCCCCGATCTCGTCAGTGGCCCCCCCGCCTCGACACCTCTGGAAACGAGATTGCTTGCTGCTGCCCGCTGGAAGCTTCCCTGGAGCCGACGCTGCAGCACAAAGCGCCGATGACATATGAGCAGCAGGACGGCGCGGTCGAGTGTGCCGGCCTCTTGGAGGGCAAGATGCGCGCTGCGGGTGCGAAGGTCCACCGCGGTGTGGTGCGGTATGTTGCTTGGTCCAGCCTGTGATGACCGTGTGCCTTCTTCATTCCACTCAGGTCGCTCTGCTGTGCTTGCTACCCATCTCTTGCGAGTCCGGCGTCGTCACCATGTCGGAGCGGAGAGAGCCAGTCTGATGAGCGCATGATTCGCAGACCCGCTTGCCATTTTCAGCCACCCTCTCGGAGACGTAGTTTCAAGCAGTGGCGACGCGCCCTGGCTCGCCTGTAGGCCTACCAAAGAATGTTCTAAGAACCTTTTGCGGTTCCAGCGAAATGTTCTTAGAACATTTCTGGCTGGGACTGTCTTGTTTCAACACATCGGGTTGATGTTCAAATAACCTTGTTTTTGTTCTTAGAATGTTTTGGGTTCTAGGAACATTTCGTGGTAGGCCTATAGGGATGCCGGGACGGTCGGTCCTTGCTCAAGTCGTTGCAAAATCAGGAGGGGCTCGATTTCTCGGAGGCCAAGGAGGACTTCAATGAGGATGGAGGCCCTGCCTAGGGGAGTGCTTCGACGGGGAATTCAACAAGGGCGGTACTTTCGACGAGGTTCACAGCAGCGGTTAGGATGTTCCCGTCGTCACTGACGTGGACGACGAGCGCGCTTCCGTTGAGGATGAGATCCATCAAGGGTTAACATGTAGCGCAAGCAGGAGGGGAATTCATCGTCATTGATGGACCACGCCATTCCAGCTGGCCCTGCCGTGCCGATGCCGAGACGTGCATGGCGTAGTACTTGACAAAGGTCACTTTGATCACGAATGTTTGCGTGGGCTTGCGCGCTGCTACTAACGTGGCTTGCAAAATGCTTTAAATAAACGCTGCTTTGAGTGGTTCAGGAGGGACGTCGACAGATCTCGCCTAGTCTGAGCTTGACGTTGATGGGAACTACTGGACGGCGGCGTCCGCACATACTAGGTCGGCAGCGTCATCTGCTCTCTCGCTCTCTCACTCTCTCTTTCTCTCGCTCTTTTTTTTGTTTCTCTCTCTCTCTCTATCCCTCTCCCTTTCACCCTCTCTGATATATATATATATATATATATATTTACACATGCATACAAATTCATATACTTCTTTCTCTCAGTATTTCTATTTCTCTCTCTCTCTCTCTCTCGGCTGCTCTCTTTCGCGTGTGCAATATGTCTGGCAGTGCTACTGCACGGACGCATGGTTGTCTCCAACATGTCCTCAATATTAGGCTGTTGCGAGAATGATTGAGATGTGCGTGAGCTCCTGGCTTGCCATTGTCTCAGCGCCAATGTACTTCCTCGCGGAGTGCACCAACCTCCCCTCTCCCCTCATCCAGTCTCCCCCATTCATTAGGTCTCACTTCTTCACTGAACGAATGTTATTTCCTGCCGTTTTTGCCTGGGCGCGCGCTGAAGTGCTTAGGATTCTGGGACTGCGCCGTTACGCTACAGCGCGTTGCGGTACAATCGTGTAGCTCCGCTAGTGCCGGGGAGCGCGCCAGCCTGCTTCTCCCCACGCCTTGCCGCCATTCTCCCACTTCTGTCCTCCTTTCTCTTCCCACACCCTGTCCGCGGTGCCCGTCTGGTGGGGGAAGATGGTGTCTCAGGCCGTCCCCAATGTGTGCAAGGAAAACATCTTTGAGTATCGGTCTGCAGGAGGCCAGGTCAGGCGTCAGGAAATCTGCGTAGCGCTTAGCGTTTCGCGTCGCCGGATCTGGCCCACCATGCTTCAATGCGGCTCACTATGGTAGAGGGGAGCAATTACTGGACACTCCCCCTCTCCCCCAAACTCCAAATTGGCACGCGCGGGGAAGACTGCGTTAGAAGTGCAGCTCATTCATCCCACCGCCAACATTGATCATTGGGGGGGGGGGTCTTGACAGA